GTCAGTCATCGTCCATTAGCCGAACATATTTTTGTTATTTAAGATTATATTAAAGCTTATTTTTACATTATTAGGGTTTTAACTTCCTACTGAAGATTATATAGAATATATTTTTCAAGTTCATTACGTGTCCTGTTGTCATATATTTAACATATTATAATGTATCTATTAGGTACAATGTTTATCGTAATTAATCATTACACTTTTTTCTTCATAAAGTTTACAAGACTGGATTATACATTATCGTTAAAGCTTTGTTATTAGAGGCTTAAACCAATTTTTTTCGGAAACTACAGCAGCTACATAATATATAATTTGATAAATGYTTCGTTTATGGTATAAATTCCACCGTCATACTATGTCATGTATTCAATCATCGAAAATATTTTGTTGAATACAAACATGACGTAACAAACGAAAACGGTTTCTTAATCACCTCCTTCCCTTCAAGGATAATAGCGCCACAATTTCCAATCACATCTCAAAATACATAACTATATACCTATGCCCCGTTTATATGTATTTTCTATTATGGGAGGTTTTTTTTCCAATGTATKTAAACTTAGTATTGTTTCTCTTAACCCTGTAATGGGACAAAATATTTAATTGTGCACATAGTTACATTTTATTATAATATAATTGTGTGTGAGCTGAGTGAAGTGGCTCCGGATATTTATAAACGTTGCATAATAATTAAATTATATAACAAGTCACATRGATATTGAAATGAAAATATAACAAATAAAATATAAATTTGGTTTATTGCAAACTGGAAAAGTGTGCAGTGGCTTACGGTTTTCGACAGTCACAGCTTGCATTAAAAATGTTATGACTAGTGATCGAAATTAATGCACAAACTCTATGACTAGTGATCGAAATTAATGCACAAACTGTGCGGGAAAAAAAACACAAGAAATAGAATTCTTTTTTTTTCATATTATTATTATTATTTTCCAGTATACTGAACTCACGTAGCATAAACATGGCCAATTTTAACTCAAACTCTCTGCAGAGACCTCCAGATTCAAAAGCGCGAGGATAGCTAGACTTTTTTCAAGTGGAAAATATCCGAGCAATCGATTTCGGTTTTCCCCTTTACGCAAATTGAATTTCCCATAACTCCACGGCGGTAGCGTACATAATACATATAAGCTTATAGATATCCAGTGATTTGGATACAAAGAAAAAATAAAGTAATGTAAAGAATTGAAAGGACACGGTAAAAAAAGATGTGCTTTTTTATAAAAAGTATATGGCATAATAATATATAGTAAATGATCAACTGGAGCTTACTATAATGCACGCTGAGTTTACAAGATGTGATGAAAAGAAATATTTTGGTGACCTAAATCTCTTGCCTAAACTGATATCTGACTCTATAAATTCAAATTCATCCATAAATATTAAATTAAAAACATCGTATGATCTATATTCTAATATTAAATTATATTATATTGTGTTTAATAAACCATTCACGTACTGCAACGAGATAAGTATTTAATTATACAATTTTTAATATTGTACTAAACTTATATTAAATGTTGTAGTTAAACATTTCTATACTAATTATAAATGATATGTTGTTAAAGTTGTATTCAGTAAAATGTAATTGAATAGAGCCAATAAATATTAACTACTACTAATAGTATTAATAATTGTTGAAAAAATTATGTACCTATAATAGGTACTTTGTTTTTAATATTAACAGTTTAAAGATGTATATAAAATTTAAAATACTATTTTATGTAAATTGCATTACATTTTAGTTATTTTCCATAACGAAATACTTAACAAATACTGTAACTTATAACTTATTTTTATACTTTTTATATTGATCTTTATATAGTACACAATATCTTACTTCAGTTTATTATTTATTAGTAACGGATATTCTGTAATTTTTCAAACACCAAGCAATTTACATTTGCAGATTTGTTTTGTTAAACTTAAAATGTATTAGTTGCTTAATTAATTTAAATTGTATATATTATGTTACAGTTCAAAAGGATGCTTAACAAAGAGCTTAGTCACTTCTCTGAGTCTAGTAAATCTGGAAATCAAATATCTGAATACATTTGTTCTACGTTTCTTGGTGAGTACTTCATTGTATAAACCATAGAACAACTTGAATTATATTTTAACCCATTTACTTAGTTCTCTATCTCTTCCTCTCTTARAAATCGATTTTTTTATACAACACTTTTGAGATTTGAGAACTATATGCGCTTGCAATACGTAAATAAAAAATTCATTTTTCACGTCCGTTTCAGACAAACAACAAGAGCTGGATATACCTTCACTGCATACCGATGATAACCAACAGGATGAAGCGCGACAGAGCTCTAACAAGGCGTCGTCCTCCGGCGCTTCGACCAGTTCTCAGCCCGGCTCACAGTCAAAGAAAAAAGACGTCAAGTCGAAAGTGACACCAATGTCACATATATCTGGAGTAAAGAGGGCCTTATCGCACACAAACAGTTTTGCCGGCGAACGATTGCCAAAATTCGGCGTGGACACTCCCAAGGAAGAAGAATTGGGAMACGTGAGTAAAAATAACGATAAATTATTATACTATGATAATATTATGTTACTTTACAAAAATTATCGAGTATGTGCGACTGCGCGTATACTAATGTAAATTTGGGTACATACCCGAAAAAAACTTACTTGTTATGAGTGTGGTAAAATTGTTGCTTAAGAAGTAAAATATCACACCACTATTATCATTCATGAAATATTTCTCATAATTTTATCCAGAAGATGCTATTTCAATYTTACCAAATGTTTATAATAATTTACTTAAATGTTTTGAATGTATTTAAATATGTTAATTAATTGAGCACGTCTTGGAAACCYCTAGGCGGTGGGGGAGGGAATATAATGAAATTTGAGATGGGTTTATGAAAATGTCTATGATACATATTTTTTAAAGTGGTATTGAGTAATGGATTAGTTTTGTACCTAATTTTTGTTAAAAATCAAATCAAATCAAATAATTTCATGATTGTTAAAATTTTGTAAAAAAAATACAATACACTATACTACAATCATTATTATTTACTATACACCCCATTCTACGTTCTATTGCCGTTGAGCCATTGAGATTATTAACCTAACCTAACCATCACGTTTAACCCTTGTGAAACATCACTGGAAAGATAATTTTCAGCGAAACAATTAAGTAAACTCTCGCAAMTAATAATGTATGTAACTATGGTCACGTACAGTGTACGTATACGCCTACTATTATGCATATATGTATATGTATATATACATAATATATGTATTTTAGTCAAATATAAATATTGTTACCCTATTACGCATTACAACGACCCTTCGTGGTTTCTCTTTCAGACTTTGGCTGAAATAGACAAATGGGGTATCGATATATTCCGGATAGCCGATTTGACAAACAACAGACCACTGACGGCCATAGCGTATACTGTGTTCCAGGTAATAAAAACAACAATAATAACGACAGTAAAAGAAGACTAYAGCTGGATGATACTGCTCAGCAGTTGTATTAACAAAGCTCGTTTTCCACGCTGTTAACCAAATGGTTCTCGCTAATGACCGTTATTTATTTTCCTCATTTTTAGAACCGAGAGCTTTTGAAAACGTTCATGATTCCTGCAAAAACGTTCGTTGCGTTCATGATGACACTAGAGGATCATTACGCCAAAGACAATCCTTTTCACAACAGCACCCACGCGGCGGACGTTGTCCAGTCCACTAACGTTCTGCTAAACTCGCCAGCTTTAGAGGTGAACAGCCTAATATCACGAAAAACTCTCTTATCACTTTATTTAAAATCATATTATYTAAACCACCGGTCGTTTTTTCAGAGTGTTTTTACTCCACTGGAAATCACCGCTGCTCTCTTCGCAGCCGCCATACATGACGTCGACCATCCCGGACTGACCAATCAGTTTCTCATCAATTCAAGTAAATAACACTTCAGCAATATAATACTATACCATATTAATATATATATATTATATAATGGTTCTTAATGACGTTTTTTGTTGCCACATATTTTTTTTTTTTTGACGTTTGTGGTCCTCAATTTTTAACAGGTTCTGAATTGGCTTTGATGTACAACGATGAGTCTGTGCTCGAAAACCATCATTTAGCTGTGGCTTTCAAACTTTTACAAAACGACGGGTGTGACATATTCCAAAACATCAACAAAAAACAAAGGCAAACTCTGAGAAAAATGGTTATCGACATGGTAAGATATTGTGTCTTTGTTATTTATATAATATATTTCTGTTATTATTAACGTCATTTTTTTTACTCTATCCTACTTGCATATAGGTACTTTCCACTGACATGTCCAAACATATGAGTCTATTGGCTGACCTAAAAACCATGGTGGAAACAAAAAAAGTGGCTGGTTCTGGGGTATTATTGTTAGATAACTACACCGACAGAATACAAGTAAATTAGATCACTGCAGTGGCACTTGCTATGAATACATAAAAATAAATTTAAACATATAATACCATGTACGTTTTCCAAACAGGTCTTGCAAAACTTGGTACATTGTGCAGACTTGAGTAACCCTACCAAACCATTGGAACTATATAAACGATGGGTAGACCTATTGATGGAGGAATTCTTCCAGCAAGGTGACAAAGAGCGAGAACAAAATTTGGATATCAGTCCGATGTGTGACAGGCACAGTGCTACGATCGAAAAGTCACAGGTAATGATAATCGAACGTTGACAGAACTCTGTAAATAATACCACAAACTCTATTAAAATATTAATATTGTATTTTCTATGCGTAAGGTCGGATTCATCGATTACATCGTTCATCCTCTGTGGGAGACGTGGGCTGACTTGGTGCATCCTGATGCCCAGGAAATACTTGATACCCTCGAAGAAAATAGAGACTGGTACCAGAGTGAGTATATGATATGTTATAGTTTCGTTTTAAATGGATTATGTTTTCATCTTTGGCGATACACGTATATTGGCATCGTCGTCGTTATTTCCGTTTTCGTTATCGTGACGATAATGGGTGACGTATGTATCGTATAYTTTACACAAAAGGTTCCCAACCTTTTTTGRCTGGCGCCACCCTTAGTTATTTTCTAAAACTCTGGAGGCACCATATAGTWTATATTCTATCTATATTGAATACGTAATAATAACAATAATTTCGCAGCACTCTGGTTGGGAACCTCTAAATTGGACACWTTATACTAAGATCCGGTTTCGTTTTGCGCATAATAGGTATGATTCCACCCAGCCCACCCAACGACGAATCCGAAGACCGTGACAGCGGCGACGACGATGATTCAAAGCCCTCGGCCAGTGACCAGGACCCGAACATCAGGTTCCACGTTACGCTTGAGGAAGGCGACGAAGACTCGGTGGCCGCAATGTGACGCAAACTAGTCGGCTGGTGTCGCAAGCTGGGTGAAAAAGTCAACTCCTGGTGGAGGACCAAACAATGAGAAAAACAACGAGCGACTCACCTCGTCCCCGTCTCTTGACAAAAAAAWAWAAATAAAAACCACAACAACATACCTTGTCCCTCCCCCAAAGAATTACATGGTGTGTCCGTGTATCTGTGTGTGTGCTTGTGCGTGTACGGTATCTATAAAAA